AGCCCCCCACCAGGCCTTCACTGCACTGTTTTTATAGATACAAATATGTTGTAAAACAGAATTAATGAGGTTTCATGGTTAATACTGTTATATAACATTATCCAAAGTAATTCTGCTTCATCACATTCTTAGATCTGTAAATTTGCAGCTTGCGCCGAAACCGGTTTGGCTCAGTGGATTGAGCATCGGCTTTCTGGGTGGAAGATGAACCTGGGACCCTTCAGTCCGCAGGCCGACTCTATCCACTGAGCCAAGCCAGCTAGGGCTGTTTACATTCAATTTTATCTCACAGTTATGAAGAGTACAATGTTTAATTTGGAAAGCTTTTACAAAGTGAGTGTTTTAGGTTTTTATTGCAAATTTATAAAAATGTTTTTAGAAACAATTTGGTAACCATGTTGAAGAATGTTTATTTTAAAAATTGCATCTCCCAATTTATAGAACTCAAAATTCATAATGAAATAGGAAATATAAAGAGTAATACTATTATCTAGCATTCAAATTCTGGCAAAATATAAGCATAACCAATGGACATAAGACACTGGGGGGTAGGGGAGGCCAGGGGATTGTCAAGGGTGGGGGGAAAAAAGGAGACATATGTAATACTCTTTGTAATACTTTAAGCAATAACAAATAAAACTAAAAAATAAAATAAAATTAGACTGTGAGGGTGGTTGCACCTCTGTGAATATATTAAAATCCATTGAATTGTACATTTAAAATGAGTAAAAATGTTATGTATGTCAATTGCATCTCAATAAAGCTACTGAGAAAAATAAAAAATAAAAATAAAAAAAAACAAATTCTGGCAAAATGTTACCATTCCAAGCAGCTTTGATCCCAATAGAAACAATAATACTTCAAGCCGTAGACTCTGACAGCAGAAGCAGCAGCTGTGGAGTGGCAGCCAAAGGCATCAGTCACATCAGCATAGGCAAGGGCTGCGAGAGACATGATTAATCCTGGGGGCATGCATGGGTAAGGTTCTGTGATTCAAGCAACAGAAATTGGCCATGGCTAACTTAAGGAGACAAAATAAACTTATTGGAAATACATTTATTCGATGTTTATGCCAAAACTCTACTAAAGTGCTTTAACAAATTAAGTTTTTTATACTTGTAACAACCTTGAAAAATGCTATGGATAAAGGAAATAAGGCTCTGAAGGCAAAGCTCACTATGTATAGTGAGTTATATATGTAGTTATATCCTAGACTAGGGCCCAGTGCATGAATTCATGCACCTTGAAAGGAACTGTGGGCCGCAAGGCTGCAGTGGGCACAGGGCTGGGTCTCGGCCCATCCTCCGTGCTCCCGCCTGGCCCCTCCTGCCTGGCCCCCAGTCCCC